GGTTTAGAATTGCTACAAAAGCTTCCTTAATTCTTGTATTGCTGTCTAAACGAAATTCTCTATTTTTCTTATGTTGCTTTGCTCTGTAATCGCAATTATGGTAATGTATTTCCCAGAATTTAGAGTGATATCCATATCCTTATCCTCATTTGTACAACAGTTTTGACTTAACTATATTTATTATATAAATATTAAGTTTTCTGGTATCTTCATATCTTTCTTTCCGGTGATTACTGTTTTCTGTTGATGCTGAAACAGTGCCTTTATGGTTTAATTGTTAAAATCTGACCTTAATACACATCTTAGACGTCGTTCAACTCTTATAATTGACTTCCAATGTTACCTACTTACCAAAAACCACAGAATAAACCTTTTTATGTCCTTTTTCCTCCTATTTATTGGAATATGATTATAGTGAAATATGACCCCATCGCACTTTTCCAACGTTCAACGTTTCAAGTCTGTTCTTTCACATATCTCAGAGTGATTCCATACACTGTGGTATTCGATGCATCATGCTTACTGAAGGGAGAGAAGCTGATATTTGTATAAATAACGTATTTATATAAATATAAAAAAAATAAGTTAAATATGCGTTATTTTGTTTATTTTTACTATTCAGACTTTTTGTAAAATTGTTATAAAATACACATTGAATATCAATTAAAATCTAACCTGTAACTATGCAGTCCCTTCAACCATGAATAGTTGCTCTTTACAAAAATTCAGCCACAAAATATGCAACAAAAAATAAAAGTTATTTTATGGCAAAATATTTCGTGGAATAAAAATATGTTCCACATAAACAAATCCCAACGTGTCTGTTAAAAATTTATTTGTTGCAGGTTTTAATAAATTTTAAATCAAAAAATATCAATATTTTCCTATATAAACGAGCAAAAATCCATAAATTAAAAAACAATTCAAAGAAAGTACATGTTTTTATAATTAAAACAAAACTTATAAATAACATAGTTATTTTTATTCAATAAAATCAGAATGATTTTACATTTTTGTATTTAATAAATTAAAAAAAATAACAACAAAGATATAAATAGAATAATTAAAATAATTTTATTTCATAAAAAGTATTCAATAATTCAAAAAGAAAAAATTGCAAATATTAATTTATTATTAAATTACTAATAAGTTCTAATGTATAATAAATGATATTAAACGTCATGGGTTTTTTGAATTTTAAATAAATTTCTTTGTTTAAAATTTGGGAAAAATACTTTAATTATAAATATTAACAATAAATTTAATATTGCATGTATATAATTTAAATTTATTGCAATCAGAACATTACCATAGTAATTATATGATTGGGAAAAACGTGAATATTGTTGTGACAGACAGAATTAATTACTTCAAGATGACTTTAGAAATACCATTGAGGCAAAGTCCACATCAGAAAAAATTAAATAGAAAGTCATCTTCACACAAGAAGAAGAAAAAAATTAGCATATAACACGAAAGTAAATAATATTCATGCATAAATGCTTGAATTAAATTTTAATATTTTAATTCGAATCATAAAGTAAAAATAAAAAAATAGACATAAAACGCCTGAGTCGATTAATTAATTAACATTCAATGAGTATTCATTTCATATCTCTTTCCACAGAAATATTTTTATAATTCATTTTTTTCAATTAATGAATTGGAAAAATAATTTATTAAAGAAAATTATTTAACTATTTTAAATAAATACAACAAAAAAATATCCTTTTATCTTTATAATTAAAAAAAAATTATTGCATTGTTTAAATTTAAATTTTCAATGCAAATACAATATAAGTCCTCTGGCATTAATTACATTTATTTATTTAAAAGAAATTATTATTATTTATTTTCCATTATTTTAACTACAATACATTTTATTATTTTTATAAATAATCCAAATGTGTTGAAGAGCAGTACTTTCTTAGAAACCGATCCCTTTCACTATAATATTAAAATAATAAAATGTTCGCAGAAATTATAGCTTATAAAAATAGTTAATACATTAAAATACCCTTCTATATATATACTTACAATAATTTGTTTGGTGAAGTGTTTAAAATAACAGTTCAACAATATAAATCAAATGACGATATTAATTTTGGCATTACTGACACTTAGGTGTCCCCTACACACCCGCTTGAGCATAAATTAAGGTCTGATATCAGTAAAAATCCATCAGTAAGCTATATCATAAGCTAATTATTTAATGATCTTTGTATAGTTTTGCACTTCAATGATCCGAAATGCATATACGGATGCAGACGAAGACAACACTGAACACATTATCTTCAAATGCAACAGATGGAACACCGAAAGAACATCATTTGAAACAATAGTCGATGAAAAAAACATCGAAAATATCACAACGAAGATGATGCTATCTGAAGAAAACTGGACCGTCATAGACCGATTCGTTACGATCATACTCAAACGGAAAAAATATGATTCAGAGAATGGGCAATTTTTAAGAAAAGAAAAGCAAATAAACCTCTGTGAGGCCTGGAAACCAACATAATGGTCCCATCTTAAAGTATTTCCGATAAAGTTGCAGTAATTTTAATAATAGATTTCTTAAGTAGGTTTTTTCGATTTCGATTTTCTAAGCAGACTATAAGGAGCATTTTTATAATGTGCTTTAAACTTTACAGATTTTATTTTAACATTCGCTTTTCAATACTCAATACTTTAGGTGCCCCCTTCTTTAAGCATCTTGTTCAAATATAAGACCTCCCACTAAACAGCATTTTAAGCTTCGTCAAGGATTTCAGGTAGTCTTAAATCCTAAGTTTTTCCATTATACGGTAAAATAATGAGAAGAGGTACACTTTTCTAGGGACGTGGAAGTCATGTTGCATTGCCTGTTTGAATATGCCAAAGGACTGCCGATGCAAAATTGCAAGCAGCTTATCATACTTGCAATGACATCAGCAGCGAAACACGCAATAGAGTTCAATGCAAAAGGATGGTGGAATCTCTATGCTTCGTTAAAAGAAAAGGATAATAGAAGAGGACAAAGTATAAACAACCCTAAGTGGATCCCCTTTGCATATGTATATGTACATATATGTATATTGTTAGAACTGAGCCCTATGTAGAAATACACACTGTTGAGTCTTAGCACCAACTAAGATTTATTAAAAATAGTAAAATAAAATATATAAAACAGTATTGCCATGTCTGTAAATATCGTGAAATTTAAGTAAATATATAACATATATGTATATCGCTTCTCTATTTAGAGGGCTTTATATAAAACAAGAACTCAGGCGATTCTTGCAGACCCACATTATATGCAAAGATTCGAACAACTTTTTGTAAATTTGGAAATGCATCGAGAGTATCTATTATCTCCAATTCAATTGTTTCTTAGTATTGACGTCAACACCATCAACAATTTATTACTTAATTAATAAGAAAATACCAACCAATTCAATGTCAATAGCTAACAAAGTCAATAATAATCCCAGATAATTACTAAAATACTTTAAAAAGTATAATTAATTATACTTACATCGACAGTAAACACTGTTAAATACAAACCTTACCACAAGTAATCCTTATATTTTAATTAATTAATTTGATTTCATCAAAAAGGATAAGACTACATATTTAATTTAAATAAAAGGTAACATTCTAATTGATATTACTGTAACCAAAAGATAAAGCATTAACGATTATAATACTGATGGTTTCACAAACAAGCTTTTAATTTCATTCACTACTTCGGTAAAATTTGCAAGTCCATTTAATGAGGTTGTTGAGTAATCTCTCTTCATATTTACGGTTTATATTTACAATTGAATTAAATTAATCCACATGCCATAAATGCATTTTAATTAAATTAAAATTTATATAATTTAAAGCGACGAGTATCTGCTTCGTATTACATGCAGTCGGAAAATTAATTTCCTCATAAACACACATTCATCATGAAAAGGACTCAGGATTCAGGACTTTTGTGGCTGTTTGCAAGGCACTTCGATTATTTTCAATATTTATATATGCGATGATTGACTTAAATTTTAACATTGTATATGCTCAATTATCACAAACAATATATATACATTTATGTATGTATTATTATTATTTTGATATACATGAAATGCATATAAGTGATATAATTTAATAATGAATTATTTGTTAATCTCTTTGTTTACACTCGTACATGGAATATTAAACACTGGAGTTGCTTGAGGGTCAGTTCAGAAACTGAGCAATCAGTTTTAAGTGCACTTTTTCGAAATGGCCATAAGTGTACTGAGCCATAATTGTGGCCAAAGAATGTGTGAGTTAATTATTTAAAATAAACAAAAATGAAAATAAATTTTTATTGCAATAACAACCAAATTTACCATTTTAATTACCGGCATTGCGTTTTGGGAGACTTTAAAATATATGATAAATTTTTCAACTTACAACATTGTTTGCTGCTCATTCTTCAAGTAAAACTGGAAGGCCTTGATTTTCAGCAAAACTTTACGGCTTTTTTCAACTTTACGCTGAAGTAGCTTTATTACCCAATTTGAATCGTATTTCTAAGCTCAATTCTTCAATACTCTGAGTATACACTATAGTGCAACATATTAAATTTGACAATGTGTATGTAACGCATTGAAAAAGACATCGGGAACTACTTAAAGTTTATTAATTTTTAATCTGTTCGATTAATCCCATTAATTTTGGTCTATCTATTTGTGTGTCTGTCTATTTGACTTTCTATTTTTGCTTTTGTTAGTCTTTCTCTCTCTCTCTATCTCTCTCATCGGTCTCTCTCTTTTAGATTTTATAATTATCTACTTTAACTCAACTTTATTTTAAAATGATTTGTAAGTAATCTCACTTCGATTAAACAAATGGATTTTGGTCTTTCTATTTGAGAATCTGTCTATTTTAATTTCTATTTGACTTTCTATTTTTGTCTCTGTTAGTCTTTTCTCTCTCTCTCTCTCTCTCTCTCTCTTATCAGTCTCTCTGTTTTATGTTTTCGGTTTATCTACTTTAACATAACTTTATTTTGAAATGTTTTGTAAGTAACCTTACTTTCATTAAACAAATGGATTTTGGTCTATCTATTTGTGAATCTGTCTATTTTACTTTCTATTTTAGTAAGTGTCTCTCTCTCTCGCTCTCTCTCTTATCAGTCTCTTTGTTTTAGGGTTTCTGTTTATCTGTTTTAACTCAGGCTTATTTTAAAATATTTTGTAAGTAATCTCACTTTGATATTTGTGAATAATAGTAAATAATAGTAAATAGTTATGTGTTATTCTCTACAAAATAAAGTCCTGATACTTCCACAGATCATGTTTTCACAAGTAAGTCACTATATAGTTCCACATTAAAATATTGCAGTAAACTGAGATCTTCTACTGAGTTACCTGTTACCAAACTCATTATGTTGGACTATAAAGAGTTTTCACTTTATTATAAAGTTAAAGATATAAATTTCTGGACACGCAATTAATAAATAATATAAGCTAAAACCCGTAGATTTTATATGAAATAAAAATTGTTAACTGATTTTTACGAGTAGCACATATATATTCGGACATAATGTATTAAGCTAGAGTTCAAATAAATCTATTGGTTCTTATAAACCAGCTATTCTTATAAATAGCTACATATAGAGCTAAATATAAATAAAAACCAAAGTCTTTATTATAAAACTAAAATCAAACCACTACTACCAAGCCTACTGAAATGATGTCTCCTTTTACAGACATTGGAATTAATCCGTTTATTCGAAAAAAGAGGTCTTTGTTATTGTGTAAACTACCTACCGATGCAGATCATGTGACAAATACTATCCCCATTGTTTCGTCCTCAAATCCGCCGACCTGCTCTCACTCGACAACACAAATTATCTAAACCAACGCATTCATGGGCTGAAATATACCACAGCTTCGAAAGTTTATTTATCTTAAGTCGTTTTTGACTGTATCTTCAAGTTAATCGGTTTTTAAAACACTATTATTTTCTATATCTAAAATTGCGTTAAATAGTTTCTTATATGTTTGAAATCAATATTGCAAACCATCCAAATGTCACTGTTAATAGTTAGAATGATCCAAAGAAGAAAAGATATGATAAGAAAGATAGAAAGATAATACCAATTCTTAGATAGAAACAGATGAGATAAGTGTTTAATATGACTTCAATTTGTTTCTTAAAAGGTTGCTGTATATTTGTACTCAATGGTATGAAAAATCAAGTCCTTGCAATCGCATGTTTTCTACATAGACAGTTTTCTATACATAAATAACAGATTTTATATAAATATATATAAAAACCCTCGAAAACCCTCCAAATTTTATATATATAGGTTCTTTGTCACCATTTAAAGAAAGTGTAACTTTTTCATCAACACTAATACTTACTTTATTGAAATATATATATCTTTTTTTTTTTAAATTGTTTAAAGAAAATGATTTTCATTTTGTATTCCTTTTTTTAAAATGTTACTTCAAAATTCTGAAGAGTTCTTTATGAAATGGGTTGAAGCTATCGTAAAATTCTTAAAGTACTATATACCTGTGGTCATCTTACAAATAATGAATTTAAACAAGAACTGCGGTAAACAGCTGTTGACAGACGTAAAGAACAGAAAAACATGCTGTTCAGAACTTTCTATTTACGACATCCTATTCAGGATATCCTAATTGGATCAACCTATATAGAGATCCTATCATCATCCTATCTTCCTATTTAGATATCCTAAATACGATAGAATATCATATTTAGAACATCCTATTTAAGACATCTTGTTAAGCAGATCCCCTTTCTTTTCAGGACATCCTATTTGGGACACCCTTTTGAGAACATCTTTTTTAAGACATCATATTTAGGATATGCTATTTAGTCCATCTTATTTAGGACATCCTTTTTTCATTCTTTTTAGTTCATCCTATTTGAGGCACTCTGTTGAGGACACCTCATTGAGGACATTCTATTTAAGACACTCTATTTGGGACACTCTATTGAGTTCATCTCAATAGCATATCCCATCATATTTGGGATATGGTATTTAGTCCATCTAATTTAGAACATCCTTTATTCATTCTTCTTAGTTCATCCTATTTGAGGCACTCTATTGAGGACACCCCATTGAGGACATTCTATTTAAGATACTCTATTTGGGACACTCTATTGAGTTCATCTCATTTACGATATAACATATCATAATAAATCCTATATTTTAGCTACTAGAACTGATTTTTCAAAGAAAAGTTTAAAAAGAACTAATACCGTTCGGCAACCAATTTCAAGGCTTAAAAATATACGACTGTAGACCAATATAAAAAGTGTTGGCAAACTTATAAATGTGGCTAGAAACTATAAAATTTTGATTTTGTAAACTATTTTACATATGATCGCATTAATTATATTAAGAGAAATATCGTAAAATAAACTGCTCTCCAATGCCGGTAAACGGGTTGGCAAATGCAGACGAAGAAGGGTACTAACATTTCGTTCATACCCGAATTATTAATTTTTAACTTGGTTCTGTTTTATGTTCTTCGAACTTTAGCACCATAACCAATATAGTGCTAATAGGCTAGCTCGCAAATATTTAAATATTTGAAATATGCAACTCATATTCTAAGCATTACTAACTTAAGAAAGAGTATATACTGTATCTTGCTAATTGCAAGTATCAACATTATTAGGCAAAAATAACCAGAAGTTAGAAAAATTTCAATACGCTAATAAATCAACCTCATATTAACGCAATACATTGATACAACAACAAAGTAAAGAATATACTTTGCGTACAAATTTGCAATGAATCTTATTACATATATAGTCATTTTCTTTTAATAAATTTAGAACTAACAATTCATTCCGTTTACGTAAACCAATAAAGCAGATTTTTATATGAAGTAAATACAATGTGAACTGAACCAGAACCAGCCCCAGATTACATACAATAAGAAAAAAAAACAAGTTACAACCAAAACAATCAGAATGACAACAACCTTTGAATACATATTGAATATTCGTTATCTTACAAATACGTCTGGGCTGAATTAATTTCCCCATTAGTATCTCACAAAGCTGAGATTAAAACGTATCAAAAATGAATAATAAACAAAAACAAAAAGAAATCAAAATTATAAGCATTAGCACATGCTAACAATTAATTATGGCTTTAAGCACCAGAGAGAGAGACTTGAAACCCTGTTCATCTCGACTTGACAAGATATTCTACAAATCTTTTCGAGGCAGTATTCAACGAGCAAGCAAACGGAACGGTCTGGACAACGTCTGTAAGTCAAAGAAAAAAAAGTGCAGCTAAGAAAAATCGCTCAAGCATTTTCAAGTTAAATAAAACTTAATTAAAGATACAAAAGCTATTAAATAAAAATCCTAAAAATTAAATACAACTTGAAATTTAATCGTATTTTGTGAAATTCCTTTGTTAAGAATAAAGAATGCAAATAAAATAAATCAACACGGAGAATAGTAGAAAAATTTGTCAAAATTGGAATTTCTATAATTTTTAATGGTTTTTTTTTCGCTCATATATTTTGACTATTTAAGAAATATTTTTCAATTTTTTATTTTCCATTAAAAGCAGTATTTTCGACGTCCACTGAATACAAAAGTAGTTATTGTTTAATTAAAATTTGTACACGCGCAAGTTCTGAAGTGAATTTCGGTCAAACAGCACAGATACGCGCAAATCGGCATATTTCAGTTTAAAAAATTTTTTATTTTCCAAATAAAAAGCCTTGTTATTGATTTCATAAATCAACTAAGCACACAGCAATTAATTCAAATAAATAAAAATTCTTTTGAAAAGGACAACTTTAAGCGAAATTCA